ACATCTCCTGGCCAAAGTGTTTCGTTAGAGTTTCTAAAGTGGACATATATTTGACCTTCAGGTCATGGGTATTGATCTCGTTGCCTCGCACAGCGTTCTTGGTGAATTCCTCAAGGAACACTTTAAAGACGTTGGAGATGCGCAGACGTGTGAGAACGTTCCTGTGACGTATGGACTTGTACAGGGCCTTGGGGATGTAATTCTTGTACCTGACGAAGATAAAGTGAAACAGTGAAAATTACAGGGACTTTAATAGTTATATAATTACTCAATATTGGTGGATTTGTTTCTCAGATCACACTGGGGTGAAATCTGAGTTGACTGAAGGCAAAAATTCAACATTACTGTAAACTCCATCTCAGTGACAAGGCACCAATAATGAATTATTATGTAAAACGTGATCAGAAATCAAAATCATTCTATCATTAGGATACACATTTACAACAATACTGACCAAATACTACATGGACTTTAATGAGTCTACATGATCATGTATATCACAATAAGGGCTGTTAAAGGTGACATATCATGAAAATCTGACTTTTCCAGGTTTTAAGTGCTATAATCAGGTCCTCAGTGCATCTACCAACCGAGGAAACGTTAAAAAGATTAACCCAGTAACTTTGTTTTGGTAAGACTTTTCTGCAAGCGTCTGAGAAAACGAGTGCGTCTGATTTCGCTCCCTTGGTGACGTGGCAAAGGGATCTCATTATAATATTACCGCCTCTTAATCTGTAAGTTTACACCCATGGTGCCGTCATTTTGATTTCGCAAGCGACAATGGTGTATTAGTTCTAATGCCATGGCGAAAGTTTGAGCAAAACATACTAACCGTTCTGTCTTTGGCTGCACAGACAAGCACAGAACACTATTTAGAGTCCCAGCCTCAGAGAAGACAACAGAGCAGAGGATTTTGCTGTAAAGTTGCTTTGCAACGATTTGTATCGTAAAAAGCGCTATACAAATAAACTTGAATTTAATTGAATTTATTGATTTATTTACTGTATATTGCTGCTGCCACACAGAACTAAAATAAACATGCATTTATTTCCCAGCTGTTTACCTTCACAGACATAACCGACTGTTTTCGTAACTCATGTGTGTTTTTAACGTAAACTTGTGTGTGAATGAGAACTTAGTTTAGTACTCACATGCTGTGACAGCCGCTTTCTGTGCGTGTGCTTCGGATGTGTGCGCTCAGA